CCCACCTCTGCTCACCAAGGGGAAAGAATTCCAGCCTACACCACAGGGCCGGTGGATGCCTCAGACGACAGCTCGGAGGGCGAACCTCTGGTAAGTGGATGCATCACACCCATCTTCAAAACAGTGACTATATTAATCCCCCCCATGCCCGAAGCTGTGAAGGTGAAAGCTTTAATAGACTCTGGCTGCACCCGCTGCCTCATTAGCCCAACACTAGTGGGGAATCTGGGCATTCCCATCCAGGAGACTGGAACAACCAATCTCATTTGGCCAGCTAGATGGATCCATAGCAGGGGGGGTGCCAGCTACCCTAGCCACTCTGCCAATACACCTCTCCCTGGGAAACCATGAAGAGACTTAACGTTTGTGGTGACCCCAGGTATGGAATGCCCAATGATTCTAGGGATGGAATGGTTGAAAAAATGGAACCCCTGGGTAAATTGGAGGACGACAGAAATCAAATTCCCGAAGGGGGACCCTATGGACTTAAAACCCCAAGGGAGGCTACCAGAATCAAGAATAGAAAAAGCATCCATAGGAGAGGAAAAAAGATTAACAGAAATACCAGAGGAATATAGGGACCTTGCTGAAGTCTTCAGTGAGGAGAGGGCGAATGAGCTTCCCCCCCACCGACCCACAGACTGTACCATTGAATTCAAGCCTGGGGCAAAACTCCCGAAGCCCAGATTATACTCCATGAGCCCAAAGGAGAAGGAGGAAATGGAAAGATTTATAAAAAAAAACCTGGAGAGAGGTTTCATTGACCAGCCAAGCCTAAAGTGGCTGCCCCGGTCCTTTTTAGAGAGAAGAAGGATGGCTCTTTACGTTTATGCGTGGATTATAGGGCCCTGAATACAATCAGTGAAAGCAACCTATACCCGCTGCCCCTCATGAAAGACATGCTGTCACACCTATCGAAAGGGAAAATTTTTTCTAAACTAGACCTAAGGGAAGCTTACTATCGCGTGAGAATCAAGGAAGGGGACGAATGGAAGACTGCATTTAACTGCCCCATGGGGTGCTATCAATTCAAAGTCTTGCCATTTGGATTACAAGGGGGCCCTGCAGTCTTTATGCAATTAATCAATGACGTTCTAAGGGAGCACCTATTTAAGGGGGTCCTTGTTTACTTGGACGACATTCTTATCTTTACTGAAACAAAAGAAGAACACGTCAAACTTGTCAGAGCGGTTTTAAAGAAGCTGCGAGCCGCTCACGCTATATGCCAAACTCTCAAATGCGAATTCCACCAGGAAAGGAAGACTACCTAGGCTATCGCATACCCCACAGGGCATTGAAATGGACCCAGAGAAGGTCGAGCCAGTATTAGAATGGGCACCACCCCGCACAAGAAAGCAATACAAAGTTTCCTGGGCTTTGCAAATTTTACCGGCAATTCATCCCCTCATTTGCACAGATAGCCTTGCCCCTCACTAACTTACTAAAAACGAAGGGAACATCCCAGTAAAACCTAGCCAGCCACTAACATGGACAATGGAGTGCCAAGCAGCGTTTGAGAGACTAAAGAGACTTTTTTCTGCCGAACCAGTACTAAGGCACCCAGACATGGACAAGCCCTTCATAATACAGGCAGATGCAAGTGATGTGGCAGTGGGGGCTGTGCTATTACAAGAAAATGATGATGCAGTATTGCAACCCTGTGCATATACATCTAAGAAACTCACGGAAACAGAACAGCGCTGGCCCGTATGGGAGAAGGAGGCTTATGGGATACGTTGGGCATTACTCACGTGGCGACAGTTCCTGGAAGGCAACAAAATCCCCTTCCAGGTGTGGACTGATCACAAAAATTTAGAAGCCCTGAAAACTTCCAGGAAACTCAATCCCAAACAAGCCCGCTGGTCCCAGCATTTTCACCAATTCCAATTTAAGCTCAAACATTTACCAGGAAGAAAGAACTTCCTGGCAGATGCACTATCTCGCATGCCCCAATATAACAGCGCACGAACCACAGACTCTAGACCAATAATGGCAGAATCACAACTGGCAGCGCCAGTAACCACAAGAACCCAAGCCAAAATAAAACCACAACTGGACAGCCAAACTGGGATTGAATTCAGAAAAAGTTTGGAAACAGATGATTGGTTCCAGAAAAACAAACATGTGTGCACAATGAGAGACGGATTGCCTTGGGTAGGGGAAAAGTTATATATACCAACAACTCAAAGACTAACTTTCATGCAACTTTGCCATGACACAAAATCAGCAGGGCATTTTGGATTTGTAAAAACTTTACACTTAATTAAACGGCAATTTTGGTGGCCATCAATAAAAAAGGACATAGAAAGTTATGTTGCCAGCTGCCCAACCTGTGCATCAGCAAAGAGGTTGCAAGGGAAATCGCCAGGGCTGTTACAACCAGTGGCAAGTCCCTCAGCCCCCTGGAGGGAAATAGCCATGGATTTTATAGTGGAATTGCCTGAAAGCAATGGGAATACTGTTATCTGGACAGTCACGGACCTATTTTCCAAACAGGTGCACTTTATCCCTTGCCAAAAAATTCCCACTGCAAAGGCCTTAGCAAAACTTTTCATCCAGCACATTTACAGATTGCACGGGGCACCCCAACGCATCATCTCTGATAGGGGAGTGCAATTTACGTCTGCATTTTGGAAGGAATTTTTATCCCTCTTAGGGACCACTCAGGGATTGACATCTAGCCACCACCCTCAAGGAGATGGACAAGCGGAACGCTGCCAGTCGGTACTTGAGCAATATTTGAGATGTTTTTTAAATTTCCAACAGAGTGATTGGACGGACTTACTTCCTTTTGCAGAAGTTGCCTACAATAATGCAGTCCACTCCAGCACAGGCTACACTCCTTTTCAAATAGCCAACGGCCAAAGTTTCAACCCTATGCCAGAGTTAACCCCAAAAGAACCAACGATCCCTTCACTGAAAGAATGGATGGAAAACCTACAAAACACCTGGCCAATAGTCAGAAAATCACTAGATGAAGCTAGGCGGGCATACAAAGCACAAGCCGATAAAAAAAGGGTTGAGCCTACACCATTCATTATAGGAGAAATGGTGTACTTATCTACAAAATACCTAAAGTCCCTACAGCCCTGTAAAAAACTTGGACCAAAATATATAGGACCTTTTCCAATTAAAAGAATCATAAATCCAGTAACAGTAGAATTAGAATTACCCAAAAACCTCAGGCAAATACACCCATTTTTCATTGCAGCTTGCTGAAAAGAGAGCATCAGTCACCTCTACGGCCAAAAATCCCCCCCCCACCACCTCCAATCATGGTGGAGGGTGAACAACACTTCGAAATAAAGGAAGTCCTTGACTCTAGGAGATATCATGGAGCAACTCAGTACCTAGTTGCCTGGAAACACCTCCCTCCCTCACAAAATGAGTGGGTCCATAAACGTCATGTCAGATCCCCGAAGCTATTGAAGAAGTTTCACACAGAGTATCCTAACAAGCCTGACTAAATTTTATACTTGTGTTTTCTTTCAGGTGGATCTCTCTTATTTTTAAGAGGGGCCAGATGTCAGAATCCAATCATATTTCATCTTTAATTATCAAATATAGAAACTCCCAATTCTGCCTTCTTTGGATTCTGCCATAAGAGGGAGAGAAGGGGGAGAACAAAAGGGCTTTATGGCCCTCACTTCCTTCAGTAGACTTCAAAGAGATGAATGCTGAATGTGTGTTTATTGTAACCTATTGTAACCTCAAAGCGTTAACACCAGAGAACATTAGCATTAACAAAGAAGAGTATTTGCCTTTCATGTAGTTATCTGAAGTCGCCATCCAGACGGAAGAAAGAAGAAACGGGGTGGAATTGTGATACTTGAAACTATCACTGGAAGGGGGGTTGATTGGGTGGGACTACTGGGGAACCCCTTAAAACCTTGAATGGGAGAGCTTGGACCCCAAGTCCTGTCTAGCATGCCTGCAACCATTTTCTCTTAATAAAGGATTCCTGTTGGAAGAACTATTCCAAGAGTTCTGTCTTCTTAAGATGCAAAGTGGGGTGGGTCCTTACATTTGTGCAGTTTCCCGATCTCCTCCATCGCATCAGGGAACAGCAGTCCACTCTGTTCTTTCTGGAAAGATGCTTTCCATGCTTCCTCAGTCATTTATGGAGCGTGGGAAGCACTGACTGGGCGATGCGATCAATGGTCCAATCTGATTCCCTTTGGGGGTCAATTAGAATAGAGCCGGAAGGGATCTTGGAGGTCTTCTAGTCCAACCTCCTGCTCAAGCAAGAGATCCTGTACCCTTTCAGATAGGTGGCTGTCCAGTCTTTTCTTAAAAGCCTCCAGTGATGGAGCACGCACAACTTCTGGGGACAAGCTGTTCCGCTGGTTCATTCTCCTCACTGTGGGGAAGTTTCTCCTTTATTCCAGGTTGCTTCACTCCTGGATTAGCTTCCATTCACTCCTTCTTGTCCTGCTCTCTGACCTTTGGAGAACAGGTCGAGCCCCTCTTCTCTGTGGCAGCCCCTCAAATACTGAAATACATCTATCATGTCCCCCTTAATCCTTTTCTCTAGACTAGCCAAAGCCAAATCCTGCAACTGTTCTTCACGTTTTTGTCTGCAGGCCTTTGAGTTGCTCTTCTCTGCACTTTTCCCAAAATCTCAACAACTTTTTTGTAACGTGGTGACCAAAACTGGATGCCACATTCTCCAGAAGCCCCCCAGTCCTCCTTGTTGCTCTTCACTTGAGCAGTAACTCTTCATTCCCCCCTCCCACGACGTCAGTCTAACCTCTGCAGGGGAGAGGGGGGACCCAGGGGATGGGGAGGTGGCGAGCACCTGGGCAGGGGAGATGGGCCAGCCACAGGGGCGGGGCTTCTGGGGAATGGGCGTGGCCTCTGCACAGGTAAGATCCCCTGCCACCTGAGGCTCCGGCGGAGCGTTGTGGTCCAGGCTGACTGTTGGGATTACTCGCTTTGCGTCCGTGCCTGCCAGATTCCCTCTCTCTCTCTCTCTCTCTCTCTCTCTCTCTAACAGCGCCATGATGCACTCCCAGATGCCAGTCCAGTCCCTTCTCTGCGCCCTCCTGATGCTGCCTCTGGGGGTGCCCCAAAATCTTATCAGCCTGCGCCTCTCAGATGAGGGGGTGCAGCAAGCCGCAGCCTTTGCTGTGCAGGAACACAACATCGGCCGACAAGCCACTTACACCTATTTTAAAAAGCTGCGAGTTCTGTACGCTGGTTCACCGGTGTGTATCTGGGGCTAAGAGGGAGTTTTTCTGGGGATGGGGGGGCAGCCGTGGAGTAGCCAAATGATTCGGAGTTACTCGAAGGTACAGTGGAAGGGAACTGAGCGAGGGGAGGCAGTTTGGGGGGGGGGAGTCTTCCCAGGAAGGTACTGTGGATCGTGGACAGGAGGGGCCTTTCATACTTAAACAGTTATTGCAGAAGTGTGTGGGGGGGGGGGAGAATTGCGGGGGGGGGGGGTAGCCTCGTTGTGTCCGTGAAGCAGGCAAAGGACTTGGATTTGCTCTGTAAACAATAGAAGGGTTTGGAGGGGCTGGGGGGAGCTGAGGGGGGGCTCTAAGGGAGGGACTGTTATCCTGGACGCCAAGGACATGGTTTTCTGCCGTTGGTATCCGATGCAGAAATGTTTCCTCTTGAAACAATGTTCTTGCTGCTCTCGAGGCATAACGTCCCTTTCCGCTTTGCAACCCACGAGGCTGATCATGTTTTCCAATGAATTAAAAGGTGATGCTACTTATTTTAAAATCCAGCCGAATTATCCCACCGTATATCATCTTACTATCGCGTTGGTGCAAACTACATGTTTAAAGAAGCACGGTATCACATTGGTGTATGTGAAGATCCAGCAATGTCCTCTATTTCCAGGCACTCTGCTGGTGAGTTGAGATGCCAAATTCCGATCATATATTCGCGGTTTCATTGATAAAAAAAAAAACCTGCCTGGTCTGAGCTCAGCAGCCCCCTCTGTAAAGCTGATTTCAATTATTTTCATGGGTGATTTCAATTCAAAAGACTAGAAATGATCTGATGATCGTGTTTGCTATATGAGGGGCTGCCCCAAAGAAAACAGGGGTGGGGGGTCACCTATTCTCCAAAGCACCTGCAGACAGGAGAAGAAGGAATGGATGTAAACTCATCCAGGAGAGAAGCAACCTGGCATTAAGGAGACATTTCCTGTCAGTGAGAACAATTAACCAGTGGAACTGCTTGCAACTAGAAGTTGTGGGTGCTCCAACACTGGAGGCTTTTAAGAAGAGATTGGACAAACGCTTGCCTAGAATGGTTCAGGGTCTCCTCCCTGAGGAGGGGGTTGGACTAGAAGACCTCTAGAGTCCGTTCCAATGCTGTTTTTCTTTTCATTCCCTTCCAGGTAAAATGCTACTTTAAAATCATATCCTATCATGGGGATACTATGAGCTTGGAAGAGGAAATCTGTGATAATTCTGTCTTAAATCAGCCATGGCTTCGCATTCCCTGAGTTTCTGAAATTGTTCCCTGACATACACGGAGGCCTTTTCTGGCGCTTCTGTTTTCTCTAATTTTCATCTTTGAGAAGAATCGACATTTTGCTCATTCAGTCGATTAGTCTTAATAAAGCGATCATCATGACGTTCCGTCTTGTCTTCCTTTGTTGTCCCAATCCCATCCAGCCTTCCCGTTTCCACGGCGACAGCACAATGACACCATGGCTTGTTCAAGAAAGCCTCGGCCATTTGGGGTACTTTCCCAACTTCTGGAAACTTTGATCCATAAGACAGTTTTCAAGAACCGCAATTAAGATTTTTAACAGAATTAATTCTGCTTCTTTCCCCAACTCTACTCCAATTGGCATATTATGCCAGTGAATATACCTAGGCCCTTGGGGACATAGAATATGAGAGGGAGGGAGGGAGGAAAGGATAGGTTGAAAGGAAATGGGGAGGGAGGGAGGGATAGAGGGAAGGAAATGAATACAAGAGGGAGGGAGGGAGGGAGGGAGGGAGGGAGGGAGGAAGGAAGGAAGGAAGGAAGGAAGGAAGGAAGGAAGGAAGGAAGGAAGGAAGGAGGTGATATACTAACAACAACACATAGCTATATCCACCCTTTGTGCCCTGGTAATAATAATAATTCTGGGAGATAATTATAATTGTTATTATTGATGATGATGATGATGATGATAAAGTTGGAAGGGACCTTGGAGGTCATCTAGTCCAACTCCCTGCTCAGGCCTATACCATTTCGGACAAATGGCTGTCCAGTCTCTTCTTAAAAACTTCCAGCGTTGGAGCATTTATTGCTTCTGGAGGCAGGTTGTTCCACTGGCTAATTGTCCTCACTGTCAGGAAGTTTCTCCTTAGTTCCAGGTTGTTTCTCTCCTTGCTTAGTTTCCATCCGTTCGTTCTTGTCCTGCCTTCCGGCGCCTTGGAGAATATCTTGACTCCCTCCCTCTTCTTTCTGGCAGCCCCTGAGATATTGGAACACTGCTATCCTGCCCCCCCCCCTCATTCTCTTCATTAAACTAGACCAGTGGTGGCGAATCTATGGCACGGGTGCCAGAGGCAGCACTCAGAGCCCTCTCTGTGGGCACGCGCGCCGTCGCCCCAGTCCTAGGCCTTCAGCTGGGTTTTATAAAATCTTTTTGCTTTAGGCCTCCGCTGCCATGTGCAAAAAAAAAAGGTTCAATCAGTCAGTCAATTTCAATTTCTCGCAGGGAATTGATTGATTGGACTTTTTAGTCCCACCCAGTCTGCCGTTACCACCGCAGCCACACCCACCCAATGGGCCACACCCACCCAATGGGCCAGACCCACCCAATGGGCCAGACCCACCCGGCACCCGACGATGCATAAGTGGGTTTTGGGTTGCAGTTTGGGCACTCGGTCTCCAAAAGGTTCGCCATCACTGAACTAGACATACCCAATTCTAGCAACCGTTCCTTATATGCTTTAGCCTCCAGTCCCCTGATCATCTCTGTTGCTCTTCTCTGTACTCTTTCTAGAGTCTCAACATCTGTTTTACATTGCGGTGACCAAAACGGGATGCAGTATTCCAAGGGTGGCCTTATCAAGGCATTGTAAAGTGGTATTAACACTTCACGTGATCTTGATTCTAGTCCTCTGTTAATACAGCCTAGCACTGTGTTGGCTTTTTTGGCAGCTGAAGCACAGGGCTGGCTCGTATTTAGGTGATTGTCCACTAGGACTCCAAGGTCCCTCTCACAGTTACTACTATTGAGCAAGGTACCCCCTAGACTATACCTGTGCATTTGGTTTATCTTGCCTAAATGTAGAACCTTACTTTTTTCACCATTGAATTTCATTTTGTTAGATAGTGCCCAGTGTTCACGTCTGTCCAGATCCTCCTGTATCTTAAGCCTGTCTTGGAGTGTTGGCTATTCCTGCCAGCTTGGTGTCGTCCGCAAAGTTCCCCATCTATCCCCTCGTCCAAATAGTTGATGAAGATGTTGAAGAGCACTGGACCCAGAACAGAGCCCTGGGGCACCCCACTACACACTTCCCTACATGTAGATGCGGTTCCATTGAGGACCACACACTGAGTACGGCCGGTCAGCCAGCTACGGATCCATCTGGTGGTGATGCTGTCTAACCCACATTTTTCAGCGTAGACTTGAGGGCCTCAGGGCAGGACACAATTAATGTTCTGGGCAAGATCTGTATAATTTGTACATATTTTAATCCTTATGACCATTTCCCACCCTTATGGCTGTTGCAGCATCCCCATGCTCACATGGTGCTTGACAACCGACTCGTACCTATGACGATTGCAGAGTCCTGGGGTCATGTGATCCATTTTGTGACCTTCTGACATGCCAAGTCAACAGGGGAAGCCAGATTCACTTATCAACGGGTTACTCAACAACTGCAGTGATTCGCTTAATAACTGTGTTTAAAAAGGTTGTAAAATGAGGCAAAACTCACTTAACAGATGTCTCACTTCATATATTTTGGGCTCTGTTGTGGTCGTAAGTGGAGTACTATTTGTGTGGACTTACCGAGGCGTTATAAAGCGGTATTAACACTTCACGTGTCCTTGATTCTATCCCGCCATTAATGCATTTTAAGAACAGAATAACAAAGTTGGAAGGGACCTTGGAGGTCATCTAGTCCAGGGCTTTTCAACCAGTGGTACGGGTACCACCTGTGGTACATTGGCACCTGGCAGGTGGTACGTGACCATCCTAGAAAAGTGGTAGCGGGGGAGGGGAATGAGCTGAACCAGTGGCAGCACCGCACAAGCCTGAGCGAGAGACGGCTGGAGCTGCAGGGCTGTCAGGGCTCAGCGGAAGTGCCAGGACCAGCACCAGGGTCCAGCTGGAGATCGGCACTAATCCTGGCGCTTCCGCTGAGCCCAGAAGAAGCGCCGATGAGGTGGAATGTTGCAGCCTCTCCAGGGTCTTGTGATTTACATTCAGATGCTTGGCCACTGATTCATATTTATGACTAGTGTCCCAGAGTCATGTGAAGAGACCAAAACCTGTTGCAACCACCCAGCAGACGGGGGGAATAAAAACCAAACACGCCCCCACCCCACCCCCACTGCCAATCCTCAACAGAAATGCTCACAACAATGAAAACCTCAGACAGGAGGAAGAGTGTGGGCGGGCGGGCGCCTTGCTCGGCTGTGGCTTGGGGGGCACTTTTTTCAGTGCCACTGTAATTTCGAACAGTCACTAAGCGAACTACCTGTACTTTATCACTTTTTTCTTTTCCTTTTTTTTTTTTGGTCATCAAGTTTTTGACACCTTGCTAGGCGACTGGTGCTACTCAGATGTTGCCATACCCTACAACTAGTACAATGGGTGAAAAGGTTGAAAAGTCCAACCCACTATTCAAGCCAGAGACCTTATTCCATTCTGAACAAATGGCTGTCCAAACACTTGTTAAAATCCTTTTAAAAATGATCAGAAACACGAAGATCACTCAAGCCCTGATATCACTGGAATATGAGCCAGCAGGGTGCTGCAGCTGCCAAAAAAGCCAAGGCAATCCGAGGCTGCGTGTCTAGGGCGATTCTCCATCCTCCAGAGGGTGGTTGTCCCACAGGTGGACTTTTCTGTTTTTGTAACCAGAGGCTGCATTAACAGGGATTTGTGGGGCTGTCTCAGTGGCTGCTCAATGCTGGGGGGGGGGGACAATCAAAACCTCTGAGCAGGTGTTCATCCAAGCCTTGTGCAGTTTCCCGATCTCCTCCATCGCATCAGGGAACAGCAGTCCACTCTGTTCTTTCTGGAAAGATGCTTTCCATGCTTCCTAAGTCATTTATGGAGTGTGGGAAGCGCTGACTGGGCGATGCGATCAATGGTCCGATCTGATTCCCTTTGGGGGTCAATTAGAATAGATCTGGAAGGTCTTCTAGTCCAACTGGAATGTTGCAGGGTCTGTGATTTACATTCAGATGCTTGGCCACTGATTCCTATTTATGACGGTCACAGTGTCCCAGGGTCATGTGAAGTGACCAAAACCTGCTGCAACCACCCAGCAGACGGGGGCGGGGGGAATAAAAACTAAACACGCCCTACCCCACCCCCGCTGTCAATCAGAAATGCTAACAACAATGAAAACCTCGGACAGGAGGAAGAGTGTGGGCAGGTGGGTGCCTTGCTCAGTTGTGGCTTGGGGGGCACTTTTTTCAGTGCCACTGTAACTTCGAACAGTCACTAAGCGAACTACCTGTACTATATCACTTTTTCCTTTTTTTCTTTTTTTTTTTGGTCATCAAGTTTTTGACACCTTGCTAGGCGACTGGTGGTCCTCAGATGTTGCCATACCCTAAAAGTGGTACAATGGGTGAAAAGGTTGAAAAGTCCAACCCACTATTCAAACTGGAGAACCTATTCCATTCTGAACAAATGGCTGTCCAATCACTTTTTAAAAACTTTTTAAAAATGATCAGAAACACGAAGATCACTGAAGCCCTCATATCACTGGAATATGAGCCATCAGGGTGCTGCAGCTGCCAAAAAAGGCAAGGCAATCCAAGGCTGCGTGTCTAGGGCGATTCTCCATCCTCCAGAGCGTGATTGTCCCACAGGTGGACTTTCCTGTTTTTCTAACCAGAGGCTGCATTAACAGGGATTTGGGGCCTGTCTCCGTGGGCGCCCAATGCCAGGTCAAAACCTCTGAGCGGGCGTTCATCCAAGCCTTCTGCAGTTTCCCGATCTCCTCCATCGCATCAGGGAACAGCAGTCCACTCTGTTCTTTCTGGAAAGATGCTTTCCATGCTTCCTCAGTCATTTATGGAGCGTGGGAAGCGCTGACTGGGCGATGCGATCAATGGTCCAATCTGATTCCCTTTGGGGGTCAATTAGAATAGAGCCAGAAGGGACCTTGGAGGTCTTCTAGTCCAACCTCCTGCTCAAGCAGGAGATCCTGTACCCTTTCAGATAGGTGGCTGTCCAGTCTTTTCTTAAAAGCCTCCAATGATGGAGCACCCACACCTTCTGGTGACAAGCTGTTCCGCTGGTTAATTCTCCTCACT